GCATTGCATTACGCAATCCTGATAAAACTAATCTGCTCCCTTTTTCTCGCACTCCATAGCTCAAAGTCTCGCGCCGGAATGAAAATAATCGTCAGATGTCGCATGCGAAACGCGAACAGACTATCTCACGAATATTTTTCGCCGCAAAATCGCGAAAAATACACGTAGAAACAAAATGCACGCGACGATAAAAATTGTATTGTATATAAAATTTAAAATGCGATAAAACATCACATTGTTCTCGTGATCATATCGTTCTTTAAAGCATACGAATACGATACGAAACAATACGAAAAGCGTAATCTAACTTTGAACAGAATAAAGACGGAGAAAAACGTATTTCTCGTTTTGATTATGTGGTAACGATGTCTACGCTTGAGCACTTAAAATATCGAATATTTCTCGCCCGATTTACGCTAAACCGATTTTCTTTGATTAATATTTAATTAAGTACACAGTCTCGCGTGCTACAAGAGCGTGCGCACGTTGCAACTTATGGCACTAAGTATTCACGTTATTTTCTGCATTCTTTAATTTTAATCTCTCGCCATCGCGAAATCGATCTTTGCATGAAAACGCAGCGAAATTTCTGACAATACTCGAAGACGCCTCGCATGTGCAATAAAATTATGAAATCGTTACAAATCGATCATTTAAGCGCGATATTTAAAAAGAAAAAGCAGTTTTCAATAAATTATTTGTATACATAAATAAAAATTGTAAATTATATCCATCTAAAATTAATAGTTCAGTCGTAAAGCAAAACATATTAATTGTCAGTTGCTTTAAAATTTCATCATGTCTAAAATTTAATTTATTCGGAAAAGCACTCGCACAAAAATAATCGATTTTTGTAAGAATGAACATACTTCCTTGTTTACCGTAGTGTAAAATAGAAGAAAGCGCTTCCATGTATTATCTTTTCAAACAGATTTTATCATTCTTTCGCATTTCTTTTCATCTCTTTTTTCTTAGTCGTGTCTCTCTCTGTTCATCTAACGAAAGCCGAGAGGCTTTTCACAGTCCTCTCGGCCCTAGGTTCGGCACTCGTAACTAGGGTTCCGATCGACTAGTGCCGAAGCCCACCTCCCAATCTCCGTACACCCTTGCATTCTTTTGCAATTATCGCCGAGTGGCAATAACGATCTTAACGATCGCCATCACGTTTAATCGGCGTTCGAATTAAAGTCGATTTCTTCGGTCTGGTGTCTTATGATACATAGTTTTGTTTACATACCTGCCGTGTAGATTTATAAGAATTCAATCAATGTATTTACCTAATCTTAAGTAAAGTATATCAGGATATGGATTTATTCGTATGATATCCTGAGATTCATGTTCACAAATACATATGCCTCACATATGTTTCACAAGAATCACGTATTCGAATAATACGTGATGACCCATTCTTGACGAAAATAAATACATGTATGTATGCATATTTATGTTGCATTCAGTTCGTTTATGAATTTATTATATAACGAATGCGCGTATGCACATAGATACATATACACACATGCAGTATCCGACCGTATTGATATCAAGGTGAAAAACTTGCTAAAATTCTTAACGGTGGGACACCAGCAGAAGAACTCGACTTCCCACTCACGCGATCCTCTCTCGAGGATGTCGATATCGTCGATATCTTCTTTTTTATTTTTTTACAAGATACAAGGGTTGTTAAGTACGGGGGATTGGGGGTGGACCTCGCGCGCCCTGCCGATCAGGACTTGTACCTCACACAACTCCCTAGTTACGAGTACCGAGACCTAGTAGCGAACTGACTCGATTGCGCACGACTTTAGCTGCATCTCTTCGCTCTCGGGTTCGTGATATTCATCATCGATCGATTTCAACATGTGTACATGCTTGTCTCTGCGTTTGCGCTATCCTCGCTCCACTCAATCCCGATCGCACAACCGTGACGCAACGTCGCTCTAAGAAATCTTATAGTTCTAGTTCAGTCTCGCACGCTAACTGAATATTTCATAGTCTTCGTCGCGTTTTGTTGTGTCTCGTATACTCTGTGATCTCGGTTTCCGGTAACCTCGAAATGAACGTTCAATAAATAAAAAAATAAAAAAAAAGACATTACAGTCTAATTCATTTTCACTAAATATGACCAACACACACGTACACTGCAACTTGTCTTCATTTCCTCACGTTTCACATTCGCTCTCTGCCTTTCACACTGAGTTACTCCGATCGTTTCGTTTAAAAATAGACACAAAATTCATCTTTTTTTTTTTGTGACACGCGTATGAGCTTAATCCTATTACGTATATCCAAATCACGATTAATATCTCGCTCAAAGAATCTAATGGATTACGTCGATTCTTAAGCAACAATCTTCCAGTTAACTCGCCCCACGCTACTCTACGGTTTCGATCGTCGTCACAGAAAGACGTGTGCCGCGACGTCACCCGTGCGTGTGTACGCCCACGAAAGAGAAGCTACCTGGGAAGTAGACGCGGCGTAGACGATATAATGTCTATCGTAAACACGCCTACCGCGCGCGATAGTATCGATCATCATCCGACCGTTGCATCGAGGCCGTTAGCTACCAAGGCGCGCGCGCGCGCGCGCTCTCGCTCCTACATAAATCGCGGTCAGTGTTAAAAAAACCGAAAAGAAAAAAAAAACGGAACACTGGCGCACGGGTTACCCGCGCCTTGCCCGGCCTTCCTACATCGCGATAAAATTCAGTTAATCGGCCGTGTCTTCTTCCACCTTGCTATACACCTGGTGCGGTCTCGTTTGCGCGACGTCGAGGCAACTCGTACACGATGGTTCTAATTGCCTGCCGAAATTCGCTCGTATTCGACGAGAAATGCTCGCTCTATTCGTCCTATTCTCTAGCTGCTCGACGACCTACTTCGCTGACGACGATTCTCCACGCGAAAAGACGCGAACGCACCCTCCTCCTCTAATGCCCGATCTTTTATACAAATACGTCTCATATACGTCTGTCTCGTGCGTCGTGCCGTGCCGCAAGAAACCTTGAAGGAGGGACATTAGGAAAGGCTGTAAGAGAACAAGAGAGAAAGAGAAAGAGAAGCGCATGGTGGAACGAACGTCTCGCTCTCCGAGCGGTTTACCAACAAACGCGCGCGAACCGTGTACCTCGTTATTTCCGATAACTGCTGGCCCGCAGATGGAAAGAACCGACCGCGTTCCGGCCGCACGAAGAGCAAAACGCAGGATTGGTTGCATAAGGCTGCGAACCAGCGCCACGAGCTCGTTTTTCGGCGCTCTCGCACCGATAATAGCCCATCACGACTGGTTTCCAAGGCGCTTTCGGGCGAGAATATCTCTGAATATGTTTTGAAAGCGGATCGTTCCGAGTGAGGGCCGATGTCAACGGACGCTGCCTGTCTGGCTCGAAACAGATTTAGAAACATTCTTCTACCACGCCGCGAGACGAGATCTTACGTAATCGAATCCGCGTTGGATTTGCGGCGCGGTTGAACGAAGCTCATACGAATTAATTGCGCGCAAGTTTAATCGTCGCGTGCGTAAAAGAATTTCGTGAAAGTGTTGCGAAAAAAAAAAACAAACAAAAACGTTTGACGGATCTAGCACCAGCGACTCCACCAAAGCGAAATTCTGCGTCATTCCACTGTCTCTTTTCAATTCTACGCGCAATATATTTACAAATTTCATGAGAAATATTCAACAAGATAATAAATGTAAGAAATACGGCAAATAAATAAACTCTATATCCTTGAATAACTAATTAATATACAAGAGAACAAAAAAATCTAATAAATGAAAATTCAAAGTCAGTCGAGTGCCAAAGAAAAAATTGACACTCGTATTCGTCTCGCGGAATAGTACGAGACGTTTATAAAGAAACACGTATTAAAGACAGTTTGTCAACAAGTAGCGCCGATCCAACAATACGAGTCCCTACGCGACTCTATCGCTCGCGTAGGGCCTGCGACCCAGCGTACCCCCCCCCCCTCCCCCCCGTACGAGGACACCGTTCCTCTCGAAAAAGTCGAACGAAGACGCGACGACAGAACTGCAGAAGCTGCTGCCCACGTATTCGCGTCTCGACATCGATCAACACGGTCAGGTGCTAGGTACCGCGCGTCTCTCCCTGTACAGCACAGACCCATTCACACAAGTCTGAACTCGCGTGTTCGGACTCCCACGCGTGTGTGACCTCGAACGCGAAGGCGAATCAGAGGGCGCCGTGCGCGTCCGACCTGGCTCGCTGTTGTCAGTCGCGATTCAACTACCGCGGCACACAGACCGTTTCCGATCTCTCCAAAAACAGATCGATCGCCCCTCGAAAAATAGGTAGAATCGATCGCGTGAGCGCAAGCGCGATCGATCCTGAGGAACAACAAGATGCGCGATGTTCCTGTACACAACCCCCTCCTAAGACGCGTCGATCCGATCGAGTCAGAAATGTTGGACGATGTTAACTCGACGACACGAAGAAGACGTGGTGGCGAAACGCGACGGAGAAGAAGAGGTAGAATTACGGGGATAAGCAACGGGGGATGTAATGTCGCGGGAAGGATCAGAAAAAAGAAAAAGAGGAATCGGCACGGAAGTCGCGTGGTCTATTACGAGCACGGATAAACGGCCGAGCTAATGCTGTAGGCGGCGAGGGCGGCGTGCGCGTGCGCGGGGGGCGCGGATGCGGCTGCGTGCGGCGAGGTGGCCATCGCGGATGCCGCCGCGGCTGCCATCATCATCTGTTGGTGCGTACGCTTTAGGGAGTTGGGAGTTGTGGCGGCGCTACTTGGGGTAATAGCAGTAGTAGTGGTGGTGTTCGATTGCGGCGCAGGGTGGTGGTTTTGGCTTTGGTTTTGATTGCTCAATTGCAGGGGGGTGGTAGCGGTACTGCCGATTCCGGCGTGATTATTATTATTACTATTGTTATTATTCTGACTCTGGTGGTGATGGTGGTGGTGGTGATGGTGGTGGTGGTGGTGAGGGGTGAGCGCGTCGTGCGGAAAATAAGATGACGATGGTGAGGTACTCACAACGTCCGGCGTGCTGGCCCCATCCGTGTGACTGGTGCTGTCGGCGGTGCTCCTCGGCCCGCTGCCATCCAAACCGTTACCCAATTCGGGAGGTTTCGAGCTCTCCCGGTCGTCGATTACGAGGTCGATTGGCATCTTGCCCTTCAAGCAGCTGATATACCGATGGCAGAAATTGTCGCACAGTTCGTGAACCTGGAACACGAGAAAGAAGGAGCGTTCGTTAGTCGTGAGCTCGAGAACCCAATTAGGTGCGCGCTTCGACGGAAAGCGAAGATACCGTTTTCCAAAAGATACTTTCCAACGGCAGGCGGCTGATTAACCGTGCCGCCGGAAATGATTAATAGACGGATTCCGTCGGATTGATCCAACCGACGCGCGGTTTCTCATGGTGCGAGGCACGGAGAAAGAGAGAGAAGCGGAGAGCGAGGGAAAGAGAGACGCGATCAACAGCGAGTTCGAATGCGGTGTATCGATACACGAAGATGGAGGAGGAGGAGAAGGAGGAGGAGGAGGAGGAGAAGAAGAAGAAGGCTGGATGCGCATCTCGAGGCCGTGGAAGCGGTCTGGTAGCTGAAGAGAAACCGATGCAGTGGACGGACGGAGAAAGAGCGCGAGGGAAAAGGAGAGATAGAGAGAAGGTCTGACCGGTGTCCAGTCGACCAGAATGTTATGTATGCAAATGAGGCCTGACAGGCCTATAGGATAGCCGGTCCTCCTCCGTCCCCCTTTCGACTCATCCTCCAGCCCTCACCCTTCTCTAGTCCCACGTCTCTGTCCCCTTGCCTGCCTGATTCGCCTCCTTGATTCCGTTTAGAATAAACGTATTATATAAGCAAAAGCAAATAAAAATCGTTATCTTGTTATATGTAAATCGTCGACGAGCCCAAGTATTATGAAGCCGCGTACGGCTCTCGCAAATGTACACCCTCTCTTCCATCGTTTTCGTACCTGAGGCTACCTTGCGCGTATTACCTTGTCCACCTCTATCGACATAGCGGTTACTTATAACGCTCTTATTAGGTATTTATACATAATAGAGAAGACGGCCATCTTTGCCGTGGGCGGTGCCGTCCGATGGTGCCGTGCATCGGAAACACGAGCGTGAAATAATAAGTGTGTGTTTATCACGCGTTAAGCGAGAAGAATTGCGATCGAATTTCCCTGATCAAGAAGCGCGTGGCGATTTGCTTTCGCGATCGCTCAAAGCGAACGGATAGATGCGTATTGCGCATAGAGATAAAACCGAATCTAATATTCGCGGTAATCGACGTAGTGAATAAACTTCAATCTAATCGAACGCTTTACATATTGTATAAGATTGTGTATTGGCGAGCAGTTTTCGCTTAGCTCACGAACGTGATTCAATGACGATATTATTAGAAGCGATCAATAAGATCGTTATGGGCTTTGTGCGAAGTCACTACGGGACGGCCATGTATTTTGCATCGATCGGTCATTCGTCGCGCTCGTTTACCTCTCTTCAAAAATGAGGAGGCCTCTCATCGGCACCGATAACGCGGCAATCTCAACGTTCCTTGGTCGCGCGCTTCTTCCACCGCCGCTTTTTTCCTGCCCTATTTGCTCCGCCGCACCACCGCGACGCGGTAACACAATGCCTTCCTCGGGATGACTAGACTCTCTCTTTAATGCGGGGACCTAAGGGCGGGTGGGAGGAGACGAAGGACTACGAAGGACAGCGGCTATAATGCCGGACTGGTTAGAATTTGATCCGCCGGGAGTCGAGTCGAACCGAGCGACAATGCTCAGCGAAAAAAAAAAAAAAAAGAAATAAAGGTCGTACGTTCTCTCACCGTCAAATCGGCCTTTCGTCTTAGCACCACCAATAACATTTTGAATTTCAAAAGTACGTCATTCAATCTTGTCACGTTTCGTGCAAACGATTGTGAATTGAAAATAAATATACACGAGAAATAATAATTGTGGAGAATAATTTTGATGAAAACGTTAATACAATAATTCACAATTAAAAGATTTTTGTAGATTTTAATTTGAATAAAACCTTGACCAAATTTTTCTCGAAATTATCGGAAGAAGCGTTTCCCGGTAAGATCGATGGCTGCTCCAACTACGATATAAAATATGATATGATCGTCTTGGAGCACGCGAGTTTTTGCAATCTATCCTACCATTGAATCGCGTCATCCTATACCGTGGACGATGATCTCGGAGGGAGACTGATACAGGATACAGGGAGGTCGACCCCGGCGATATGACAGGGCGCTCGATCGCTCGTGTCTCCCTTTTCCCAGATCGCTTTTGGCGGTCATTCAAGGAGCAAAAGGACAACATGGTTAGGTCCGATCTTTTCGGGGAGAGAATGTCGTCCGAGGATATCTCGTGGCGTGCGATACGACAAAGTGGTCCGTTATCTGGCGAATGAAGGCCGGCGAAACAAATTTCGGACTACGAGACGCTCCACGTCCGCGCGCCGCGTAATTGGATGTCGTACGAAAATAGTCCCCGGAATCTGAATACGGCTACTTAAAGTTTCAGCGGCAGTTAAATTACGATTCAATTTTGAATCAAGGGTTAATATCGATCAAATTAATACTTCAGTGAGGACGCTGCAATCGAAGCTTTAAACGGCTGTGGTAATGTAATTTCTATCAATGTCCTCGAGCGGGAGCGGAAACGAAAGCTACTTGAAATCAATGAGCGAATTCGCCTTCCGGTCCACGTTTGCTACCTAAGTGATCAATGGCGTGAATAAAACACTCATCATCATCGCGTTTACACGATTGTTTGAACAAAATTATATCAATAAAATCTTTGCAATCATTGTTCTTAAAATAATAAAATATCGTTAATGAGATGTACAAATGTTATTAAAAATTTATTTCACAACATTGTGAGCATTTCTAAATTATTTAAAACATGTATTTTATATTTATCGTCATTTATAAAATTAACATCTACTGGTGTATGTGCTTTAAAATACACAATGTTTTTAAAATGCATGAACTGTGTACAATAACGCGGAAGTAAATACATAGAATATCGTCAATTTTTTAGTTTTTTGAAAAAAAAACACTTGTTATCTGTGACATTGCGTGCTTATTTCCTGCGTTTACAGATGATTTCAAGGATGAAAACCGACTATTTCAAAACCAGTTTTCGATTCAAAGAGAACATTTAAACGATCCCTTTCTCTCGGCCGCCCCTGTTATCGTGGAAAGGAAGAGAATATTTCGCGCGCTGCGACATTACACAAACTCGAAGTTATCGTACCTCCTTTCATTCAACCTCGAAATTGCTCGAAAATTTTCGTAAACGAAGGAAGGAACGAGTCAACGTCCCCTCCTCCCTATCTTACATCCGTCCCTTCCGCCCTCGTCTCCTGGCGTACTCTCGGAAAGGCAAACGCCGAAGAATGAAGCGGATCCAAAGTACATACGAGCGAGAGAGCAGAAAAGAAGGAACACGGGGAACCCCATTTACGGCACAATGGGCTCCTTTGAAGCCGAAGGTAATGAAGGTTTCGGGGTGTCTGTCTCGGTTTCCCTCTCTCGCGGCCCGATTCGCAACCTGACCACCCTTACGACACGCACAGGATATCTGTATACCGGGTGTGCGTGGCGAACAGCCTCGCTTTCTTCCCTTCCCACCGCGCGTATTAGTGACGCGGCGAGGTCGACGACGATAAAGAAACTCATCTCGAATTTTTTTCAAGCCGTTAAAATTAGTTCGTATTTCCTGAAATAAAATCTTGGCGAAATCCGCATATCAAATCAACATTTTATAGCCTCCGAAATAAGTTTAGGAGACACCTATCCGTTAATTTCGCTAAAAACCGGAGACGTAATTCCCGCTGCGAACGCTCCGGCTAATATCGTAAATTGGCAAGATCGTCCAGAGGCATCCGAAAGCTCGGTAAGGCACGTACGTATGCGCGCAGGAACACGAGGATATTTTAGCGGGAGAGAACGACGTGCGCTGGCATAGGTTTAGAACCAGTTTCGTGCGGCTTATCCGGCAGGAAGGGGGAAGTCGCCCGCGTGTTGTACCAGTACGAATCCCGTTGGTATGCACTGTGTACGCCATAATATCCCATAAGAAATTTACCGCTCCTCTAACCGGTGTACGCAAGGCGGCTGCTCGGAGTCCTGCGAGACGATGGAAGAAGCGAAGAGAGAAGCGAGAGTAGAACGATAGGAAGAGAGAAAGAGAGAGAGAGAAAGCGCCGCCAGAAAATACGACAAAGGTAGGAGGAAAGGAGAAAGAGAAGGCAAGAGGGCCTGACCGGACCTTCCTTCCGCGCACCGGGCCCCGGCAAAACGTAATTATGCTAATACGCGATTGGTTCGAAAATGTTAAATGCACGAGGCGCAGCACCGCGGGCTACCATGAGCCTTCCTCCATTGGTTCCCTCTCTCCCATTCTCTACGCTGCTCTCGCTCTCTCTCTCTCTCTCTCTCTCTTTCTCTTTATCTCATTCTCCGTCTCTCTCTTTCTCTCCTCCACTTCGAGCACAGATATTTATGGAATCTTCTTCATCGCGCGCCCGCTGCATTCCGCTCGCTCGCGTCTCGTCTCGTCTCGTCTCGTCTAGAAGCCCCGGGGACCAGAAACGTTTCAATCTCCGTTACCATCGATGGCGTGCCAAGCCGCGTCTTCGAACTTCAGAGATTCAACACTCGTAATAAAGAATTTACATATACTAATGTAATCGAATATCGAATATCCCCGACGATATCGTTTCCGCGCGAAAAGTGCACTGCAGCGGCGTGATCTTTCGTAACGCGCGTCTGTTGATTTCTTTTAATTCTGTGCTTCCATTAACGAGGGCAAATTTAAAGGCACGAGTAACGAGTAATAAGCGCTATCACGATAAACTGAAATGTCGCTGTAATTTCGAGCGAACTCGAATTAGTAAATTTATTTGCCTCCATACAGATAAGCAAAAGCGGAAACGCGTCTCGATGATTTATTCGTTGACTTAATGTTTCTTCTCTTGTCGGATATTTACGTACAATTGCTGCAAAATTTATATTTTATCTAATTCTATTTTACAAATACACAATTCAATTACGTGCCAAGATGAGCCAACGTTCTATCGAAGAAATCTGAATCTTTGTAAAATTAATAATACTACCACTGTCTTTGGCGAATGTGTATCGTTCCGACGCGCCGATGATATATAACATAATCGTCGCGAATAAGGAAATTACTATAAAATTGCGCGCGATCGAACCGGATAAGCGGCAGAGTCGATCGACAAGTCAAAGACTACGAAGAGGTCTCGAGAGCGCGGTGGCGGCCAATGGCTGCCGCCACGTCAGCTGCCATTTCGATGGAAATGCGATGGATGTCCGCTATTCTGTATGATAAAATATCGCTGCAAAAAACGCCTGGATAAACTAGGTCCGCCTCCGTGTCCTGCGGGTGCAGCCGCTCGGGAAGCGAAGAAAGAGAGAGAACATGTCGAAAAATTGCCTATACATTACATTGAGAGCGAAAGAGCACGATTATCCTTCCTCTCTCTCGTCAGTGCAATGCGAAGAAAAAGACGTATGTTTCCGAGAATCGCGTAAAACAGTGGCGACGAATAAAGAGCGCGAAATTTCGCGACGAAACGAGCTCTCGGCTCTCTCGTTTGCGCCGCCGATGAAAACCCGCGTCTCGGAATTTCCCTCGACAGATGTTTCACTTTCACCGCTCGCACGGCCGTATAATTCCACGCTGCTGTTGGCTGGCTAACTGGCCGGTGGAGTATCGGCGCGCATTGTCATTTCGCTTCGCCGATCGGAAAGAAGGGGAGGTACCACAACAGATGAAAACAGGGAGGAAAAAGCAAGAAACGAGACTGCCGTTCCAAAGCAAACAACTGCGAACGAGGTAACGCGTCCGTCGCTGTCCAACCGTTGGACAGCAAAATGACTCCACTTACGTTGGAGTCGGTTCGCGCCGCGGTCTCGTCGAGTGCGCCATAGATGTCAAGCAGTCCCGAGCTTTCACTGCAATTACGGAAAATTGCCCCCGCAGTCATAACAGTCGTTTTTCAGGTGTTAAAGGCGACTTATCGGCAAAGCGGGCGCGGTAATCTCTTACAATAAGGCCGATCGCGAGAATTTCCAATCGACCATATACCAGTCTCGAGTAGAAAACCGCTTCTTGCGTCAGTAGCACGCAATTTTTCATGCAAGTTTTATTTTCACGCGAAGTTTTCAAAAAAAAAGTAACAGATACAAATCGGCTGCTAGTACTTTCAGAAAGTGACTTCCTGTCACTTCCAATTTCTCTACAAAATAGAACAGATCTCCTAATGTATTAAAATGTTTCAGTTGTAGTAATTTTAGACAAAAATCTATGCATTGAAAAAATAATAAATTAAAAAATAATAGGCTCGGACAGCTAAAAAATAGGGAATTCTAATAATGCATCGCACATGTAGATACGCTATCGGTTGGATCAGTAATATCATTATGAGCTTCGTAATGCAGATGCGGAGGATACTCACCTTTTCGAGCTCGAGGAGGTGAAACCGGAGGACCTGAATCGCCTGAACCATCTGAAATGAGAAAAAAGAATTGAATAAATGCATTCGACGGGCACGGAGGTAGAAAAAAAGGCATCGGATGGTAGAAGCTGGTTCAGAGGAGGCGATGAAGGAAGGGCTGTAGAGGCCGGAGGGAGGGGGGGGGAGGGCAGGGTGGAAGGAACATGAAGCAGACATGATTTAACCACGCGCTGCTGCATCGGCAGCTCGGCAAACAGATCGACAGTCACGGCTCTGCGGCGCGGATTCGATCTTTTTATTTACGCACCCGCGCTTTCATTTATCTCTTCCGGTAAATATCGCCGTCGCGATGGAACGTCGATGGTTGTAGCGGCGCGACGGTTATTAACGGGAATTCATTATTATTGCATCTGCATTCCGCTAATTGCGTATCTGAACTGCATCGCGCGGAATTCGCGCGGTGCGCTCGCGAGTGTACGATTATAGCAGGAAATATAAGAGGCAGGCATACAGAATGTTCGTTAATTGTCGATCTGTCCTTTTCTCGAGTTCGCGAAAAAAAAACCCGAAAAACTGCAAAATTGCTCGACGCGTGAAGCACTCATCGCAATGTTGGAAAAAAAATACCGGAATGCACAATTCGACATGAGCAAATGCCGGCATGAATGCCGAGAAGTAATGGTTGTTTTTTTTTAGATGCGCCTGGTATCGAAGACGCATCCTCGAAAGGACCATCAGTATAATTTTCCGATACCCCATTAACGTTTAAGGCCACCCGAGACCCCCCGTCGCAATCTCTCCGCGAGAGGAGGTCGTACGTTGCGACGACGTTGTTCCCCCTCGGGGACAGCAGAAGCGGTGATTCAATTAGGCAAAGCGGCAATCTTAATTGTTAATTAACATTATATTTATGCAATTATGGTCCATTATGATTCCGCGCGGCCGATAACGAAGCGGTCGCGATGAGTGCTCTTTGAGATAGTGGACTCCTCAGAAGCCTGCCTAACATCTCCTGCCTGCTCGTCCTTTCGCCGGGGAAGGATACGGTCTAAGAGAAGCAGGTATAACGCTGAGCTTGTAACCGCCGCCAACACGAGCGACAACCGGACGAGATATCACGTCTGCAGAATGCATTTTGGAACTTGTGCACAGCGGACAGAAATGATACATCGAAATGAAATAAAAATTAAAAATTACGTAAGTATGCGTTTACTGAAAAGTTTATCCTTTGCCTTTCAAATATTAATAATCGGCTAAGATAGAAAACAAAGCATGAGGAAAATACAATATGAATGTTATCATATTACGAAAGTATTTTAATAGGAAGCTGTTCGATTCGCTTGGAATCCAAATTAGCGACGACAGTAAAGAATCGAAATCGTCAGTAGAACGAAACAATCATCCGCATTGTACACCGAGCGACGAGGCGTCGGCGTCGAAGGAATATGTATCGGGTCTTCGACACTTCAGGGCCCCTCCTCCTCGTCGGCGAGCGAACAGCGAAGGAGAAGAGTGAGTAGATAAGAAGAGAAACAAGTACGCGATCGAGCGAAGAGAAAGAGAGAAGGAAAGAAAGCGCGCGGGAGAGAAAAAGCGAAGATGGTATCGGTCCAGTAACGAACGCACAACACAGAACACCCGGGTGCTCCTTCGCGAGATGGTGCGAGGAGACGATTCGCCACGACGTGTTTCTCGTCTCTCTTCTTCGATCCCGACGTTACGTACAATGTGTTCTTTATATCCGACAGTTTTGTTGCTCCTCCGACCAATAACGACGTAGTTACCACGACGCGGCGCGAGCTCTCGTGTATACGCATCATTAACTAATCTCACGAGAACAGCCTCGCGAATATCTTTCGTCATAAACTTGCAGAAATTGTGGAAAGTTTCGCGAGTTTTTTTTTAATAAAAAAACAAGACATAAATTGATTACTAAACATACGGACAAATTATGAGTATGTGAATCATTTGATTATAATTAGGTATATCAGTTTGTAACCTTTGCGTGCCAGTTGTTTACCTTTCTAAGTTTCTCATAATATAATCGCGAAAAGAAAATTCTTTCGGCATCTGGACATCTCGAACAACGGCGCATTTGTATCTCTAGCTATCGCGGAATGAGGCTCTTCGTGATGTCTAGTCCAGACTACGTCTCCCGTCACTCACTCTCTTTCATATTTTCTCGCCGACTCTCTCGCTTCGCTCGCGATCTTTCGGCTCGGGAGGTTTTGCCACGATCGCTCATCACGTGTTATTAATTAGGCTTGCGAGCGGTCGAGTATCTCGTGCAAGAGAGGCAGGAGGTCCGAACCGGAGGAGGAAGAAGCAGAGGCAGAAGAAAAACTGAGAAACGCACGAAGAAACGGGGAGATGGTGTTATTTATAAGCCGACAGGGACGACGCAGTCGGAAGCAACGCCCGGCGACGAAGGGTGCCCCCACTTCGAGCCTCCCTTTCGCTCTCTTTCATTCCTTCGCCGTTGTGTGCATTCCTTCCTTCTTTCCCGCCTTCTCCCCGGTCGCTTCCACTCGAGCGCCACTGCAGCGTGACGCGCGATGCACGCTGCACCGGCGAATGCGTGATGTATGCGCGAGATACGCGATGCGCACGTACGAGCGTAAATGAGAGCGCTGCGTCGAGATTTCGCGCCTCGCGGATGCTGCACTCCGAATGTCTGGCGAGTGCTTGTGGACATTGCGCGAATACCCGAGACCACCCGCTTTCGTCGTGAATAAATAGTGAATCGGGGAATTTTATCAGCAATAAATTGCAACTTTTTTAAATTACATTTCGAAACATTAAGTAAAGTAATTTAAATAATATTAACTTTTAAACATAAAATGCTGAAATTATGAATAAAAACATTATTAATCTATCGTAGAATGAGAAGGGTAATAAAACATCGATAATGAAATTATCGAGCAGCGCGTATCTTCGTCCACTTCTTGCGATGAATGTACATACACTTGTATTGCCAGAGTTCGCAATTAATTTATGCAATTCTTTAAATTGACAAAATTAATTGGATGCTGTCAATGACGTAAATGCAAGTGTGTGTACCATTGTCCCACATTTGCACCAATCGATTCCATTACACGCGCAATTCGTATATTAAACAACGCGTTTGCCGACGTTCTTTTATAATTCGAAGGCACGCACATAACTGTCATTATTAATATAAATGTAAATTCTGCGATTAAAGTGGGTATTAAGGTTAAAGGAATAATAAATAAAAAATTCACATGGCAGGTCAATTCGTTCCGTGATGCATTTCGTTAAAGCGCCGCGATTAGCATCTTATAATTGATTGCGGCGATTTTTAAGGGAATTAAATTCGATCTCGGCCGCTCGGCATAAATCTTCGCGCGTAATATACCGGTCGTTTTCAACACTTCTAGCAAAGTACGGTGAAGTCTGTGATTCGGCCTTGATGAGATCGTTATATCGCGCAGCCAGGTCGGTACCCGCATAGGTGGACCTTGTGCCGGGCAGATGGGCTCGTATACAGCTCATATTAATTAGTCCGCATACGAGCACGACGGCGGAAAAAGGAATGAGATGGCGGCCGGCGAGCGAAAGTGAGACCACCAAAAAGGTGAAGAGATCACCGGATAAAGAGGGAGAGAAGAGAAGCGAGAGTGAATGGTCGACTGTGCGCAACGGCTGTGCATTTGCTCACGCGGAAAAGAATTCATAAAGTCGCAATGCATATGTATAAACGTGCAGTTGCGGCCACGTCGACGAGAAGTATCATTATCGATTCGAAATACCTAATTAATTAACGACTCTCTCACACCTTCCACGGAGTTTATACGAGAGTTTCTCGCCGCGTATGCGCGCGTGCTCTCGTCGCTAGCGGAGAGAGACGTCGAGTCAAAACGAGATGGGAAAACAAAAATTCGCAGGGAATGTAAAAAAAATAGAGAACCGAAGAATGCAATAAATCCTCCACGCGGCGTAGTGTCGCGCACGATGCAATTTCACGCGGGAATAAAGATAACTCTTGCGCGAATGGAGAAAACGTAGAAATCGGCATTACCGCGATCGCGCCAATTTCTCTGGGAAAACGAGCGCTCTTATACAGTTTTAATAATCTTAAAAGAATATAAAGCTGTTAATAAAAGCGCGTCGATTCCCGCGAGATTGTCGTGTCCCAAGGTAATACGCCGCGCGAGTCTCCCGTCGAGTGCATAAACGACACACTGCAGAACGGTAGTAGATTGCGATTCGCCGAGTCTGAAATAATCGCCCGAGTCGATTTCAATTCAGGCACACACGAGATACAAGCGGAGTAAAATAAAAACCACCGACGAGTAAAATAACATGTCACGCGCATCGATCTAAGCGTAAGTTAACAATTCTCAAATGACACAAAGATGGACGAAAAATCGATTGATAACCGTCGACACGTGCAAAGCGCAAGCTGTGATATCGGGCGAAGACAGATCGGCAAAATGCAAATCGCGTCGCGCGCATACGAGAGTGCCGCATTCTGAACGTATATACGCGAGCGACTCTAATGAATGGCCGTTAATTGTATCAATTATTAACGAGGGACATCGCGCGGACGCCGCGACGACTCTTATCGATGCTCGGTGATTTACGAGGCGAGCGTCCTCTTTCACAGATTACCCGGCCCGCTCTCTCTTTCTCTTTCCCGCTTCTTCGTCAGCTCGTCTTCCTCTTTTCGACTCACGCAAAAAGAGTTTCGCGCCGATTACAACCGTCCTCTCACAGATTACCGGCCACTCGCGACGACCCGATTGCTTCATTATCGCTTCGTGCTCGGTGTTAAACTTGAAAAAAATTACGATTAATTTTCAATCTGCCGACATTACACGAATGTACACAATTCATGCGACTTATTCATCCACGATTTGTCTACAGTGCACGTGCTACTTTTTCCTTGAGTTAACGTTTTTTTGCAAAATACGAGCGTCGCAGCAGGACACGCGTTAAATAATTCAATCGTCTATAGTTTATATTCGTGAGAAAAATGACATATATCGCGCGTGATACTAAAAAAATCTGAGAATTAAAATTATGAATGA